AGGTTTGTTCGACGATTTCATAGTTCATTTGAATTGAGGATTTTTTATCGATGAAAAAGGTTATGTATCGCAACTTTATTTTTTTTTAATTTAAAAATTAAATATACATATATAAAGATTTTATTATTGATATTTTAATTAATCTGTGTGTAACTTTTTAATCTAGAATTTAACCACCAGATGGTGACACATATCTGAAAATGATAAAAAAACACGTTTACGTCGCGGTAAAAAAGTAAAAGCGAAAGAGACTAGAATGGTCAGTAATGAAACGAAAATGGTTACATTTGACTATTATAAAACTATAAGAGGAAATGGTATTTTCTCTCTCAAGGGCGTGAAATTACCAGGGGATTATGCTGTAAATGGAATTGGAGGCTGACTAGGTAGAGAGATTAAACTCGGTTAAACTGAACTCTGCTGGTGCATTGTACAAAAGCAGCGGTGAGGATACTACTAAACATCTGTAGTAAACTAAGAGCTGAAGTACCGGCGAAAGCTTGGAAATTGCTTGAGAATCAAGTCGTGCTGAATCGAATTGTCATGTACATATACCTACACACTAAAGCTTCAGATGCATTTCTCTATATATTAAGACGAGGAGAAATAACATTTGAAAATTCAAATTTTTAAATTCAATTTAAAAATCAACATTTTTATTCAAATTCAAAAGTTCAAAAATTTCAATTCAAATGTCAAATATGAAAAATTTCAAATTCGAATTTTCCTGAAAATTCAAAAATTTCGGTTCATTTCTAAATATTCGGAAATTTTTAAAATTTTTAATTCAAATCCAAATTTAAAATGTACAACAGTAGAACCTACTTAATAACATTGAACAAATATTTATGTAGAAAACACGCAGCAGTAGACGATATATTTGGAAAAGAACGTAAGGTTTAAGCCGTTTTCACAACCTTCAGCGAGCATCTTACATCAGATCACATCGTATAACTACGTTTGAAATCCCATTCTACTTGTTGTTCACTAATCCGCGAATGTTGCGTAAATGATGGATTTTAGATACCTCTGTTGCTGATAATCGAACGGATCCGAAGCACTACTTGCGGATTGTAGGTGCACAGCCAAAGCAATTCGTCCTCTACGCTCTATCCAATTAACAGGGAACCTAGAAAGCAACGGTTAAAGTAGGAAGCAACGTAAATTACATTGATACTTTCCTCGATAGCACTGGAAAGTTGAATCTTTCTTTTGATATACAGGGTGTCCCAATTTTTTTCGGATCAAACTTTGTCAGTGTGTTCTATAGGTACAGATAAGAAAGAAATGTTATATAAACATAGGTCGTTTGAAACTTTATTAAAAAATTATAATAAATAATTGAAAATAGGAAGGGAATTTTTGTTATAACTTTGTAACGAAGTTCCAAACGACTTATGTTTATATAACACTTCTTTTTCAGACGTATCCATAGAACATACTGACAAAGTGTGGTCGAAAATAATTAGGACACCCTGTATATATTTCTAACAAGCTCGTTATCGAAGTATACGACGATGTATTTTACGAACCATTTTCTGTTATTTTCAGATATCGAATTGACATTTTTTTATATTTTCAAGGTGATAAGAAAACATTTTGTAGTTTTATGCAAATGGAACTTTAAGAGGGTTTAATTTGAACTCTATTATATTTAAACAATGAATAACAGTTATAAAAATTTGTATTACACTTGTAACAAAAATTACATTAACACTAACACTACGATATTAATTATTTTTTAGTCATACAATTTGTTTAACATACTATGCTTCATTGCCAAACAAAAACTGTTTACACGTTTATTATGTTTTACAATTCATTCAATGCGAAACTTTCTATCGGTAAACTTTAACTATAATCGACACTGTGAACATTTTCTCCAAGTATTTCCTTATACATTTAATCCTCTTCTATGAAAATATCTTCGTGTATTCGAATCTTCTCTAGGAACGATAAAATTTTAACAATACAACTTTACCACTGTAACATTTTAAATATAAAAAACGAACAGTATCAAAACGTTTTTAATCAGTAGCGTTATCGGGGAGGAAAAGCTCCAAACGATCTTCTTGAACGACGAGCACGATCGATATATTATCTTTTAAGCAATGTAACGTTGTGCTTTTTGAAGAAACCTGCAATATTTTTACCATGTATCGCGAAAAAAAAAAAGAAAAAATGTTGCCAACAATTGGTCGACGAAGCGCCAATTAAATTCTACAGAGGAAATTGCCTGTTGTTAATGGAAGACATCTTCTGTTCGTCGTACAGGGTATTTAATTAATCATTCACGACGAACACGCGTCCAAGTCCAGTTCGAGCTTAAAAGTCCAACGCGAATTGCGCCACGACAATAGTCCGAGTCTCTGTCTTTTTCGCTTAACGTTTATTCACACACAGAGCATCCGTTGTAAAGAGAAGAAAAAGGAAAATTGTTGTTTAACGAAGGAAAGTTATTTTGTTTTTTTCTGTTTTTTTTTTATGAGTGAAAAAAGCTCAAGTGATCCTCGATTCTATTGGAAGTCGCCGTAATTGATGAATTTTTCATTACATTATTCATGGAAATATGTACTGGTATTGATACGTGAAAAATTAAAGGAATACGACGTGAGAGAAATTTTTCATTACCGGTTGAAGGTAACGAAGTTTTTCAATTCTAGGTAATATGCAAAAATTACACGTTTTGCATTCAAAATTAATAAAAAGTACAATGGTAATCTTATAAAATAGTTTTCAAAAATTTTTTCGAAATTTTTCCATTCCAAAATTTCTAACCTAACCTAATTCACTGATAACGAACCGAAAAAGTTACATAGTCACACGGTGTATTAACGAAGAATCCGTTCATTGTAATTGTAAAAAAATTGGACGATGTAATTGTTCCATCTGATGGTACTTAAACATTCTTCAAATGACCGGACAACTACGACGCCTCGGAAGAATCGTGGATCACACTTGACAAATTGGCGTGTGTGCCAGTATGAGGCTCGGTAGGCAGCACGTTTCGCCTTCATTATGTATTTATAAAGGGCTGTCGATTCAACGGATGGTCCGGGTAAATTTAAATTGTAAATAGACGCATTGCAGATTTCGAGTAAAGGCATCGATAACAGCAAGAGTATGGTGTGTCCGTGTGTGTGTGTGTGTGTGCATGTATGCGAGTGTGTTATGCAGGAGGGTGTTGCTTCAAGGAAGGAGAAAAGGCAATTCATTTAGTTTCATTTGTAAAGCTTGAACATCCTACGATACTCGAAATATTCAAGCTTGTTTTCAATGTATTCTAACACTTTGTCAACGAAGGGATTGTACCTCTTCTCTTGTGTAAATTTGTAATTTAAATTTGCAATTTATCACGTGAATTAAGTATGAAATGATAGAGGGCGATGAAAGAAGTATTTTTTGTAGAATAAACATATGTCCAATCTGGATTCGTTTTGCAATAACAAGACATAAAAGATGCAAAACTTCGACGCCAGACGTCGAGCAATCCGCCGAGCACCGTTTGCCCTTACGACACTGTAGCAAGATTTTAAGTAAGAAAGCACGAATTCTTTTACATGGAAACTAAGCTGTATTATTCTCGTTATTATATTTTGATTATACTCGATAATATTATCCATGATAATCTTGTAAATTATACTATATATACTATCATTATCAAAATTATTTACAATTTATTAGTTGCAATATTTTCAAGCAACCTTGCAAATAATTTTCATAGTACACTTACAGTACAATTCTCGTATATAAATTATAATTTTTTTAATTACAATCATTGACAAAGTGTTGACAAAAAAAAATCAGATTTATCTACATTGTAGCCAACAGAACGTTCCAAAAGTCACGCAGAATGCAATTCAAAAAGAAAGAAAATGAAACCACGAAGAAATAAGATGTATTAAAAATTTCAAGTTGCCTGACTTTTGGGACACATGGTATCGTTCGAGGACGTCGTTACGGCCCGAATCGATCAGCCAGCTCTTTCCATCGCCTTTTTTTGTCCGAAAAATTTTTTGGCAAAGACGCGCATTATGTAAGGAAGGCCAGGATAAAGATACGAGGAGACGTTTGGCGGCTTCGCCACTTTTCTCGCGACACGAGCGCACTCCAGCGGGAGATAGCGAAAACAAGATGATAAGATCGTTTGTGTTTTGACAGCGTGAATCGTTTCCAGCTGGTGAACAGCCGAAGTATATCACTTTTCTTTTGTCATTTTTTGTAAATTTCTTTTGCCCAAAAATATTGTCCCTATTTTTTTGCTGTTCGACCTTCCTTCCGTCGAGGTAAGAGACATTAATCGACCAATTTCTCTAAGCTTGTAACTTTGAAAACTAAAGAAGAAATTTACATGGTATGTAAGAAAAAAAAAAATAAAACAGAAAAAGAGTTTATTAATCTATCTGAATGTAAATATACATGTATATCTAGAGAAAGAGAGTATTAGATTTAATATTGCTACACGATACAATTTGTGAACATACTACATAATTTTTCGATTGCGTGTTCTTACGTCGTTCTCATCATCGAGGGGCCTTTTATGTATGAGTAATCGTTCTAAATCCCGTTACGGATTATAATTATTTATCTGATCGATATATTAAAGATAATGAAAAGGATGTGAATGTTTGGTGTTCTTTACTAGGTCCCTAAATAATATTTACTATTAAATATAAATGATAAATTCATTTTTCTGGTCTTATATTATGTACAGAGAATTATGGGTAATAAATAGATGAATATAGGTTATATATGTGTTTACCTTATAATTTATTTCCCAACATACGTCCAAGAATATTAAATTTATCACAAGAAATTAAAACTATATCATTTTTTATATAGTTTATATATAATGTATACTTATTTAGATACAGAGTACCAGAATATAAGAGATATAATCGTAAAGTGGTAATGAAAATTACAATTTCTACAACTTGGAAGAAAATTATGTTGTAAATTCTTTGTTTATGTTAATTATTTTGTATTCAACGCTACAAATATTACGACGAATTTTCATTTTTTTTCCAAACAGTGTCATATAAGTCGGTACGCCTCTGAGAAAATGTGGGTATCTGAGCTCTCACTTCTTCCACAACGTTCATGTCTAAAAAGCAACCAAAAAAATAAAAAAACTAAGAAATTTTATTCAAACTGTATATAATCGTTTAAAATAAAAGAACTCGATCAAAACAAGGTCACTTCTGAAAATCTTTTTTGCTCAACTTCCCGAAAATTTTCCTAACCTCTTTTCCCTTAAGTACCCTCCAAACTTTCAATCTCCAGATTAACTAACATTTCTTTCACGATCTTTCATAAGAATATAAATATAACCTTCTAAACATAAATTTGTCCTATTAATAGATTAATGGAAATGTAAGCGAATAAACATAAACTTCCACAATTACCTATATCTGCGATCACCATGCTCTCGTCCGTGTCTAGATCGTGAAGGATTTTCCCCCACGGATTGGTTAACTGTGTATGGCCCCATGCGACGTAACTAGCCGAAGGGACACGAGCCGGCGATATACAGGCAACGTATAATTGATTGTCATTCGCTCTGGAACGCTGAAGCAACGACCAGTGTAGTGGCCCAGTGGTCATATTGAATGCCGCCGGATATATCAGCATTTGGCAACCTGACCCAGAGAAACGGGAAATATGAAGCCACCGAATACCAGTTAACTCCGTAAACAGCCTGTCCACGCGTTCCACGATTTACCGATGCATACGAGGGGCGACCTTGTCGCCGCGTTTTAATCGTTCTACCTTTATCGACTTGTGTTTTTTGTTTGTGTTGCGCGATACAATATAATTGCTTTTCTATCGTGTTCTCTTTTGTGAGAAAATTCTTTTAACGATGAAGTTCACTGTTTTAAGCTTATGTTTAAAAAAATGGGTATTTTCGCGTGTAATACAATATAGTGTTAATAGGAAGCTTTACTAGAGATGATATTAATGCAAATATTCTGCTGTTAATAGATTAGTGGAATTGTAATTATTTTTGTGGAAGTTTTTAATAAAAGTAAAAGAGACAGTGTATTCTTTTCTACATAGAACCAAAACAAAATTTTTTAGGAAAAACCGACTTAATTTTCATCACTTTTTATAGTTCAGCTACCGTACCTTTGTTCCGATAAATGCGCGCCATCTCCTCGAATCTAATGTCATAGCAAATGCCAATACCTATCTTGCAGTCCTTGACCTCGAACATGGACAAGGCGTTACCAGGACTGAGCGAATCACTCTCGCGGAAAGTAATTTTGTTAGGAATGTCGATGTCGAACAAGTGTACCTAATAACATGAAAAAGTAAGCACTAATTGTATTATACTACACCTTCAACAATAAAGCATTAATCTCACTACATATAAAGATTACATATCTCTATCATTTTATTTAAAAACAAATTACTATTTCAAATTATTAAAAAATAAAATAATGCAGAAAATATAAATTGTTGTATTAATTCCACAATGTGAAATCATTTTTTACTCGCTGTTCCTAATTTCATTGCCACAAAAGCCTATGTTGCTTACCTTTCTGTGTTTCGTTATTAGAGCTCCATCTGGACCCCAAACAGTGCAAGTATTGTACAATTTATCGCCATCTCTTTCGGGTATTGTACCACCGATCACATAGATGCTGTTTTCTTTAGCTGCTTTTGATAACGCGCGGCATGTTTCACCGTCGGTAATATTTTCGGCATATTTTGGAAAATATTCTGCATTATATTTGAATAAATGAGAAAGAAGTATATTTTACTTTGAACATAAATATATTTTTAATAAGTTCTAATACCTTTTTTCAATTCAATTAATCGATAATTGTTATATTCTATAACTATTCATTTTTCCTTATTTTATCTTATCTTATTATTTTTTCGTATCAATATGGATTTATTTATCTATGTTAAGTGCATAAAGTAACTTTTTCCTACCAGAAATTGAAACAATTTATATTTGAAACTGACTCAGCGCGCTCTTTTCGAATGTAACGTATTGTGTTCGCGAATGCATCACATATATTCATTTACGTAAAATATATACAGGCGCATATTAACGCACAATGAACAATAAATATTCCAATAGATCTTCAGAGTTATTACTATAAAATAAATCTTATAAATTAAATAATTATGGCAAAAGAATACATGTGCAAACACAACGTTTGAATATTGTGTTTAATTTATGTAAAGGTAATTCATCAGTCAACGACTCCGTCGGTACTATTCAGAACACAAACAGATTCCACAACAAAATATGTAGCTCTCGTTTTACAGACGGGATTTTAAATACGAGATAAGTACTATGTTATGACTAGTTTTTTTATTAGTTTTGTTTGTAGTGAAAATCACATTTACAGAAAAAAATGTGATTACTTTAAAAAGAAGAAAAAAAATGCATTTTATTTTC